TCGTGCCATTTTTGCCGATAAAAGGACGCCGTGAAATCGACACCATGTCAGACACATGTTCCGACCGTGCCTCGAAAATATCGGGAATTACACGAAAGATTTGCTGCACGATGCGTGAAGAATTGAAAATCAAATAAAAAAGGAAAAGGGGCGTGTGCGTATGTACGAAAGTGTTGAACGCTAAAAAAGGGTTTGAGGAAAGCTGGCGAGGCGATTCGCTCTAATTGGATAATTTATCGGCCACGTCAATAAATAACGTTCCTCTGTTCGATCTGGCGAATCTCGTGTCACGGTTTATTCATCTTCCTCGTTTCATTTCACCGACTTCGATTGGTAATATTTTTAAACTATGGAATGTGTTAGTGAAAATTCTCATGTAAGTCGATAATACTAAATTTTTTGGAAAGTTTGTAATGAAATGAAAATCGAAATGTTGAAATAGTTTCACAAGAATTTAAAATTTAAGAACGTTGTGTAGAAAAATTTTTAAATTAATAAACGGAAAATGTGATATAATATGATATTATAATATTAATATGACATTTAGCATGATATGATATAGTAATATTTTCACGAATGGTTAATTAAGAAATAGAAATGACTTCTAAATCCGACGTAAATTTTCAAGGTGTGAAATTGACAGTTTCAACGCTGCGAGATTTAAAACGGTAAACGAAGACGACGGCGAGCTTCGCGGTAATACAGTACTCCTTAAAAGGTTCTGCCTGGAAAAGGCATGCGTTGTGAGAAGTGGGTTAACTAACTGGCAACACCCATGTTTCATGTAGTTCACGAGAGTTTTCTCAGAGTTGTAACGAGCTCCGACGAATAGAGAAAGAGAGAGAGAGAGAGAGAAGATCGCAGTCGATCTTTGTGCAAGCCACGTTTTATCCCACGATTTTCTTCCTCTTACGACAATACGGTCGTCTATGAACGGACAGACGATTGCGTGGTTGTTATTATCTTCCAATGCGTTACAACAATCACCGAATAACAATGATGTAATGAAAAATTAGATTACAAGAGAACTTATTTTTACTTCTTTATTTACAATTATTCTTTTATTACAATTTTTATTTACAGTTTTCATACGTTTGTAACTTTTATTTACCCACGTTCTTTAATTTTCTTTTCAAATCTATTACCATTTTTATCAACTGTTAATCATTAATTTTCTGCTTATACTTCTTCATTTTTCTGTCTTCATACTTCTTCAGCTTCTGCTGTTTTCAATTCATTCGTTTCTTAAATATATTTTCGATTCTCTAATCGCAATGAAAAAGAATAAATTGCATATCTACCCACTTTTAAATGTGCATTAAAGGTGCAGCATGGTAAAAGCATG